CGGTGTTAGGGACATCAGTGGAGACTGGTTGATACAATTCTATTATATTTGAAGAAGTAAAAGCATCCGGGCCTACCAGTAGATTGTATTCACGCTGGGAGGATAACTACTTCGTTATTTTTAGATCAACCTCGGGTGGATACTTTTTGGTTTGGAACCCATAGTCCGTGACTAGGTGAAATGTGAATTATAATTGGTAATTGAACCACCGTTCTACATCTTCTTAAGCATAGTAATTTCGAGGATAGTAGTATATTGAGAGGGGTGTAGATAAGTCTACGAGGGGCAGTGATTGCTTGGTTATTTTTAGATCGACGAAGGGTAAACACTTTTGCCATAGAACCCACGGTCTCCGGTTGGATGAAGTGTTAAGTCTAATAGAGCGATGAAGTACTTGGTGGTTTTTGATCGAGCTAATTCTGTTGCTTATTTTTGGATTTCTGTTTAATTCCATCTGTTATAGATAGTACTCTATACCGAAGAAAATAAAGGAAGATACATTCCTCGATGCTTGATCTCTATTTTCCTTTTCGATTGGACTACTTATCTAACTAGAAGCATTACTTTTCCAACGAACTAATTCCTGAGTCAGTGTTATAAATAAAGAACTTCAGTAAACATCAGAAGTTATCGATGAGAACTTTATCGTTCACGAATCTTATTACTTCCGGTGTTCCATTCAAGCTGGCCTATAATAAACTAGGTAGTTTTATTGGCGATGTATAAACGCGATATCGAAAAAGAAAGACCGGAGGAAAACAAAGCATAGTTGGCCAGGAATAATTGCATCTTGAAACCACTGAATGCCTGTGATCAGCAGCCAAGAAACGAGTATTCCATATTCTCGAATAATTATTCCATCACTTGCTGCTATTAACCATAGAATATATAATTTCTGTTAATGTTAACACTTCCCTTGAGGAAGTACTTTCACTACGTGACTTTCATAAATCGCGTATTATGGGTATCACGATTTCCATTTGCTCGGGCCCCGATCGAATGTCATGAATTCGCGCGAAACAATAAAAGTCACTCGATCTCGTTCGATTCGGCTCGGTTAATTCGACGTTCCTTCGTTATTAATTTCGAGCGTGGGATACAAATTCGATTTTTACGAACGAGTTATCTCCCTTTTTATTTACACGGGATGCTGTTGCACCGCGGTAACGTTAACGGTGCAGCTTTTTCCAACGCGTACCATCTTTTTCCATGAGTCATTCGGATTCCTTTCCATTCTTCCTTCGGGGCCACCTCACGCATTCCAGTCACAGACTCATCTCAAGTTTTTCTCCGCATTAGGTGTGAAACATTACTTATAATAAAGTTACTATAATGTTTAAATAACTTTATGGAACAATGACTGTCTTGTATTCGAGGTTAGGATGTTTTCCTTTGTCTATGTACTAAAATGATCTAATTAAGTCCATCGGGGCTAGGTTTAATTCACTGCCCTCTAGTGGGCGATCCTTTAACTGGGCGCCCTCTAGGAAACTAAGAATGAAACGCAACTTTCCTGAACCACTAACAGATGGCGAGCACTGACGGCGGCCATCTTACAATTATTAATAAGTCCTTAAGGACTGATCTTTAATCAATAAGACATCTCACGTGTCACGAAATGATATATTCTTGGATTTAGTAGCAAATCCAAGTGGATAAAATGGGACCTCTAATGGATCTGAAGCACTTGCTGCTGACGATACATCACCGGAGACTCGATGGTCACCGTGTTGATGCTTTTTAGGCAAACTAGGCCCCTGTACAGTGACAACAATGTTTATAAGGAAGTCATCTAGACTACCAGTGAGTCAGGTTCACAAGAAAGAGTTGACAGCTTCACGACTGTTAAGATTAATGGCTAGTAGACACTTTTACCTCAGACTCTAGAGTCTGCGAGTAGGTGACCTGGGGATTCTAATGGGATCTAAAGACACTGATCGTCAGGATTATGAACAGGTAAGTTTCACGATGTGGATTTAATTGGGAGCTGAAACACTCGGTTCTAGGAACACCACCAGAGCTCTGGTCGTCTTATCAGACAAACTATGATTCCGATCGGATTTCACCCGCACCAAGACCACAGTACTTGTTGCTAAGTGACCAATCCCTTTGCCTCGTCATCGCAATGCAACAGACGATGCTCCCATGGAAGTATCGAGGTTGCATCTATAGGGGTTCCACTATAAATCGTCTCACGCGTCGCGAAAGAGCGTTCGCCCGTGTTGGCGTTATTCCAAATTTCTCGGTGATCGGTTCGATCGTCGGTTAATGGTCCCGGTGGATCCGTTGGTCTTGAACCACGTCACGTAGAGTTGTCCAGCGTCGCGGCGGCAGGGAATGCCGGAAAAGCAGAAAACGGCGACGGACCAGAAAAGGAAAGATCGCATTCGCCTCACGTATCCGCGGCGACAAGTACAGGGATCACGTTGCGCCAACGTGAGACTCCGCTGCCCCGGAATTCCAGGCTGCCTTTTGTGCCTCTTATCTGTTCCTGGAGATGCACCCGGAAATACGCTGCCCACGGAGGCGCATTCCGAAGTATGCATTCCGAGGGACAAAGCAACGTGTAGAACCGTCTACCCTCCGTGGAGGGGGAGAGGTACTTGGTGACTGTCCCGAACGCGAAAGCTCGTTCGAGGATCGGATTAGGTTCAACCTTTCTATACAGCAGACCGCTGTACTGTTATGCAACGAAAAGGATCCCCTAGAGATCGTCTACTCTTCGTTTTGCACTCGATTTTACTTGAAATTAACTGACAACTAGAAACGAGTCTCGAGCCTCTGTGAATCCCCTTTGTATTGGGTACTGTTACTAAATTCGATGTTTGAACCTGTTTGAACTCATAGAAGTCGCCGAGAGGAGTGTAACGATCTATAAATTCCCGTCCGAGAAGATTATCGAACGATTAGATCGTTTTCTATTAAAGTCGGAAACATTTACGCTAATTGCGCGTCCTATGAACAGCGAGTACAGTATAGTCAATTATGGCGGGGTCGTATCTTCGGGATTGATCTTGATCGTCAGAATAATCCGACCGATCGGAGGTGACGATATCAAGTTAGCCGGACAGAAGGAACGAAAAATGTCGTTTTGGAATTTGAACAACAGAATCTAATCGTAGGGTAGAGTTTGTGCAAACCAGGAACTGCAAATAACAGTTATTACGCTTCACTGAAAAGATAATCCAACGGTTTCTATTAGCTATCTAAAACAAGCAATTCTCGTGAATCCATAAATGACGTACACTTGGTTTTATTATTTCGCGTTATTATCGGATCATCGCCGATAAGAACAAGCTATTACACATATTGCTTCACGATCTATTGCAACTAGTACTTATTTAAAAATGAACATTCTCCGAATAACAAAACATAATTATTCGAAAATGAAATTTTGTCTTTATGTTTATTCGAATAAAAATGTGTCCGGCGTTGATTTCGAGCACCCATTTTCCCAAGCTTCGGTTTGTAACGAATATTTTAATAAACGTACCAGTCGGCACAATGCGCTCAGTGTACCATGGAGACATCGACTGCAATTAGACGCGTCTACGACGAATTTGCGTGGATAATGTTCCGCGAATTCGCAGTGTCACGAATGCCACCACTGTATTTACACGATTCTCACGCGAGCGAATCCTTCGACGATAATAATCGCGCGGGAAACGCAGTCCGGTCGATGTTTGAACGACGATAACCCGATTGGCGTCTGGGCGATCAAATAACAGATTGGTGCTAGCGATAAGGAGTATTTTTAACAAAGATAATAGTGGAAATTCTTACTTGTCCTACGAAAATACCCATTGATTCCGATCATTACTTCCGAGTACAAAATATTTCGCGTATAATTAAGTAAATTAGAGCTGGGATGGATAGAGCCAGAGTAGATAGAGGTTGGGTAGAGCGAACTCATGGAATAGAGAGGAACTCATGGAATAATAAATAGAGAAGAATTAATGGAGCACTAACTTGAGAAGAACGCCCGGAATAATAAGTAGAGAACAACTCATAGAATAGTAAACAGAGGATAGTCTGATAGAATACACTGTTTCATAATTAATTTTAGAGGAATCCCAACAAAATAGTCCAATAACAACCAACCTACTATCTGTTCTGGACTCTAGAATCTAGAGCACATTCTCTAATATTTTATCAGATCGATGGTTGGCTCTTCTAGAGCTATTATTTACAACTTGGCCAGGAGGTTAGGTTACCTTTTCGTAGAGTATCTTATACAACGTTAATAGCACGGCTACCTTTCCAAACTTGAACCGCAATAACGTCCGTAGTCTGTGTCTTATCTGTCCCAAACAGCTACCTGGTTCCGGAGTTGCCTTCCAACATTGATAACCAGGCCACCACTTAAGCTCGCTATGACTCTTTTCAAGAATATATCATCTGTTCAGAAACTGGTTCCCAAGTTTTATTATAGTAATCTGTCCTTTACCTGTCACGGAGCTGCTAGTTTTCCAACGTCAGCCAAACTAGATTATTAATTTCATCAACATTGCGCTCAAATGTCAACAACCTACCAATTTACAAAGCTACACTTAAATACAAATAAGCTGCCCACTATGTATTTCAATTACATACCTCAACAATAAGCCTCTAACAGTTCAAATGACTTGACCAATACCAATTGGGGATAGTAGTTTTATAAACATTGCCCTCAAAAGGCTGGCAACCTACTGACTCCAAAGCTACACTTAAATGCAAATAAACTACCTACTAAGTATTTCAATGCTACGTTTCAAAATTACCCTTCCACTGTTAACTCTACAATCATCAGTCTCAAACAACAGCCTTTTGGGTCAAAGGGGTTAAACCTACATTTTGATGCGCCTAACACATCTAACGAGTCTTCCAATGCAACGTCCGAGGTTGTTTCATACTACTGTTACCATTGTTACCATTGCTTAGACCACTGACAATCTCTGCCTCTGGTTACTACCTCGAACAAACCTCTGGTCTATTTTTAAGAATATCAGGAATCTACTCACCGAAATGGTCGGCTAAATGTCTCCAAGAAATCCAGGGGCACGTCAGACACCGTGTACACGCACTGCCATTTCAATCGATCGCGAGGAACACTCACACACTGATGTGGCGGAGGAAGCAATTGATTCGAGCAACGGGGCTTGATGATCAAACCTGTCACGATCACTGTATCCACTGATCAGCGTTTCACGGAAAAAGAACACACGAGTTCGCGAAACGTACGGTCCTGATCCGATCACACGATGGAAAACTAGACGACAAAGGTGGTTCTGGATCGCTCGACGATAGAATTCGGCGTTTGGAAGTCGTAGAAACGGAGGGAAGTGCAAGTCAGGTGCATGGATGCGACGTATTCGAAACAACGCGACAAGGAGCAGGTAGAGCGTAGCCTTCGCTGCTCGAGCAACAGGTAGACACTGTGGAGAGAGGCGAAGATGGGAATGGAGCGAGTGTGCCACTCGGATAGACGGATCCGAATGCCGACGAGCGGGATTGAGCGTAAAGCGCCGTTCACAATGAACTGACGGGAGAGACTGACTCAACATCCTCCGAGAGGAAATCGTAAAATAACGGATAGAGTACGACTCATAGAACACGAAATATAGCAAAATGTTTAGAGCAACGAATAGAGCACGACTCATGGAACACGAAATATAGCAATATTTTTAGAGCAACAAATAGTGGACTAAAAATTCCAAATCCTTTCTGTTGTCTTGGAAACATATTAAAATCACTTTCCTTTCATGACTGCCATTACTATAGGAACTTCTATTACGAAAGAATTATGTTATCGCACGTTTGCAATACTATAATAGTCATTAGACAAGCGATATAAAAACTATTTATGTACATAATGAACCAGATCTGCGTTATGAATACGCCATTCGGGTTGTTATAAAATGATTCACATATTTTTTCCATTGTTATCACCCAAGCGTCTCACGTTAATCATTCGTTTCACAATATTTCTAATCCATTATGCTTGCTACGGACTAATGGCTTTCTTTGTGATTCCATGAGAAATTCGTTAAACATTCGAATTGTTTTAATACCGTTATAATTAAACGAAATTGAATATAAATTACGAATCGTAAAACTGCAAATTAAAGATTACGTTTACTAACGAGTAACATAATAATTGATTTAATAAAGAATTTACAGTCACGTAAATTATAATAACTCCTGTTATCTTTCACCAAAGATAAGTATGTTTTTACTTCCTGTTGGGACAAGAACGTCTTGAGAGAATGAAACCGAGAATTTCTGAATTCCTCGTTCGTAACATTTACGAAACCGGAGAGAACTTATCTCGCTGGTCCGTTCGGTGTAACGCACACTCTTATCGACCTTATTAATCATTCAACGAGTGTAACGCAGTTGCATAAAATGAAAAGAACGTTTGTACGTAACAAGAAGGTTAACAAATTGTGATTAAGGATGTCGCCTATCAGATCGACTCCAGTTACAATTATCATATAATCTGTCTCAGCGTATCGGATACATCCAAGTATTATGTCTCTTTCAGAAATTATATAACACGCGTTATAAATCAATGCACGCCCGAGCATTAAAATCCAGAATCTTCGCGCGACAATTCAAAGAAAAATAACGTTTCCTTGGAAGAAATACACGCGACGTTCTTTATACGTTTCTATCAATTTTTTTAATTCGATTTCGTTGATTTTTTAACTATATCCGGCACAAAACGGATTTTATAATAGTAGAAAGCAAGTACCCAACCAGTCACGTAGAACTTTTCTTAATTGAATTTCTCGCTGACCTGTTACACAGGTATTACCTGCGCGAATCAACGAAGGCCTACTTTTTATCGTAATTATGAAATCAGCGTGAAACTCGATGAATAATTAACCCGCTACCTTTACCTGGAATAAGTGGGCGAGTAAACTGTTCCTATTTCCTACTAACTGTTAAATAATAACAGCGGTGGGTTTGAATTCAAGTTTACGAAAGAAAAATAGTAAAATATTCATAGAAGTATACTTCGATATGAATATTTTATATTTAGTGTCTTTCAAGTTGCAACAATAGGAGTTGCAAGTAGGTGAAATTAGTCGAAAAGACAGAATTAATAGAAGTGGGAATATTAAATTTTAGCAACATTGGAGACAGATATTGTATCATCTCGATAGATAGAGGTCATATCGATTTGAGATTGAATGCTACGTGCATTTTCTTTTATTATGTACGCCAGTTCATCTCGTCGTTACGTGCTTTGATTGAAATGGTTCACCCAGTGTACCGATGATGTCAGAGAGCAAAGGAATGCAGTCGCACGTTTCTATTAGAAAAACTCGACTGAGATTCTGGAAACTCCCAATTCATAGTGCAGACACGCAACAGGCGCCTGGTCCCAGGGTCAGCGCTCCACCGATGTGAATGAAGCCGTACTCGAGGAACGTGGTGGGGGTTCAATTATCGCAATGAATTACAACGAGCCAGTCACCGAGAGTGACTCACTGCGGTGCTCTAGCTGTTGCAACGGCCGATGGAGCAGTTTTTTTCTTCTTGCCCTTCCTCACGGGCAAGGAATTCGACCCGGGGAGAAAAAAGAACCGTCGTCCTTCCGGAGAATATGATGGACCTGGAGGAACGCACGGTGCTCGTGAATCAGCGAAGCACGCGAGCCAACTGCTTCCAAGGTACGTCCGTATACTTTCATTTGCGGGAACATGAGAACTAGAGGTAACGGGACTTCTAGTGCTCTTAATGGCTCGGTTGGACTTCTTGGAGCTTGGAACTGGTCGCCATCGAGACAATTGGGTGGTCTCGCGCGCAGTCAGGATTCCATCGAATCCTATTTCGGGACTTCTGGCAATCCTGATGGCTCGATCTACGATCTGGTTCGATCTCGCGCGGATCACCGCCGACCATAATGAATGCAATTGACCGATCAAATGGAAGATTAAACGATGATCGTCGTCCGGCGCGAGGTTAAAATTCCGAGCCCTGTTTTAGAACCTTTGGTACTCCTAATGTCTTAATCTGCTTCCTGGGTTAATTGCGCGCAGGTCAGAGTTGGTATCAATAGAGATCGTTCGTTGGAAGGTTGAGATTTTTAGTCGAATTTTGGGGTCCCGGATCTTTGAGTACTTCTTTAGAAGGATGAGCAACCGAACACTTTGCGTTTACTCGATAATTTTGGAGTAATTATGTAGCTCGGGGGCAGAATTTAACGCTCCGCGAGCCACGAAAAAATCGAATTTCACGGCGAGCCGGGTTTCAAGTATCCCCGGCGTCGTCTAGTTTCTTTTTTAACGAACGCTCTCTCGCTCGCATACCGTGCCAATTATTCTCCGCACGGAAGTTCCACGGCCTGGCGTGAGAGATTGATGCAAGTCGATGCACTCCGAGTATGTTTTATTCATACCTTTCACCGGGCCCGATAAGAAAATTATATTTAAACTGGCGCCCCGCGATGTCGCAGGAAAAGAGAAACCCGGCCAGTAACGATTCGATTTGTCTCCCTCCGATGGAAAGTAATATCCTCCCATGGCGTTCGACCCGTCCGGCGATTCCTCGTTCGCTCTAATTGTTGCTTTGTTCGCGCACTTAGCGGGCCTAACGAGTACGAGCACAACAATGACAACGTTCTCGTGGCTACTACCCGGTCGCGTTCGTACCAAGATGTAAAACGTAAGCTGTTGGATTTACAACTATAACTACAGTGTTTAAAATGTAACCGAACGATGTGGTAGAGCGAAGGGCTTGAGGAGAAAGGTAGTCTCTTGGTGGCCTTGACCGGCCAATTCAGTTTGCACCGCCAAACGTTGTGGTGGGAATGGCCTCTAAGGGCCAACTTACTTTAGTCAAGATTAAAGTCAGTTTGACCGTCACTCCTTATCACCCTTCCACGATCTTCCGTCTTTCGAGCATTATCAGACACTCGCCAGCTGGGTCACAGTCCCAAACGATAGTCTAATTGCCTGATCTTATCCTTGGTACTAATTCCTCCGCGTTTAGGCCACTACCTCGAGGGTGTGTGTAATAGTAAGCTTCGCTAATGCATGATTGAACGGCAGCTTAGAATGATTGCTCGCACAGGCCGGTCCGGAATATGTTTCGCGTGATTTTTGAAGGCACGTTTCGTGCAGGGTTTCAAGAGGCTCGAGGGCCTCGCGATACGGGCCGCTTGACGATAGGTCTCCAGCATCGAAAGTATCCGGCGCGGTTCTAAATAAAGCCGGGGCTTTTTTCACGCGAGCGGAATCGAGGCGAGACGGGGCACGCCTCCGCGAGACGCGAGCGCCGATTAAACGACGGAAAATTATGGTATCGCGTACGTTTCGCCGCGTTGTTAAATAATCCTCGTAAATAACAGTAAAACGCGCGAACGAGATACTTTATTAGTGCCCGCAAAACTGCCGCGAAAGCGTCATAACGTCTAATATTGAGACGGGTTAAGTCGATGGTGATTTTTTTCTCGCTCGCGGAACGATTTATCGTGTGAAATTGCCCATATAGCGACTATTACGTCGCCCATAGTGATTGAATACGCGGCGCTAATAAAATTAACGCGATCCCCGGCAGCGACCGACTGATAGCGGTCATTAAATGGACATTAGCTGGTTCTGCGTTCCGCTAGTCGTGATTGTCGCCAATGATTGCCAACGTTTAGCAGAACTTGGGTGGATGACGCTGAAGAAAGGGCATTGCAAAAGTTTAACAAGGATATTCCTATTTCTGGTCGAATGTAGTCTTTTGGTTACCACTCTCAGAGACTAATCAATATTTGATGTAACAGTTAGACCCCGGTACCGTATGTCTAAAGAAGGTCTGTGGGCAAAGACTGATGAATGATGGTACTAGGTTGGATTGGCAGCATCTTGTTCGAGACCAGATGTAAGATAGTTGGGGAATGGAACATCTATCCGAAGCGTTGGTCTATCGAGACCAAGGATTACTAGGGTATTAGGTCGCAGACGATGCTGATGGTGTCAAGAAGGTCTCACCGGGGCTTAAATAGCACTACAGGAGATGGCAAAAGTGGCGACAGGATTGGTTACCCCTTAGTTTCTTAGGGAATTGCCTCGGGATTGACAAGCTATCTTTAGCCCCCCATGCCTAATCTGATTTAAGCACTTGGGCCATCATAATGACACAGGGTACAAGTATATGTAGCCTCTCTATGGAAGTAGTGGATGATTAACAAAACGCTCACATTAATGTGGATGCATGGAGTCCCTAAACCCCCAGTATCACGCTGGCAGTCTATATTTGGTGGTGACATATCGACTAGACGCATCCCAATCTTGGGGTTACAAGGTCCCCAGTCAGATAAGCATTTTAGGATGACTATATGGCCGTCTGTGTCTGCCCTTTGTC